CCCCAAAACCCCAAAACCCCAAAACCCCAAAACCCCTTCTGAAGACAATAAAATTGAAACCTCTTATTTCAAAGCGAAGATTGTTTAAAAGACTCTAAATAATTTTTCACCCTATTGGAAAAGTATAACCTATTACAGATATGAACTTAGGGAATTTGTAGGAAAGCTAGCCTCCACCAAAATCGATCACCAGGTTGTTCTCCACAAAAGTAATCAACCAGGCTTAGAGTTGTTCATAATTTGGTTATTTAAAAATATTGCTTAAGTTTGATGAAATCTTTGAAATCATTTTTGATTCGTTTTGTCGAATTGCAGAACAGATTTAATTCAAATTTGGTAAATAAAATATCGAGCAATTTAGCCCTCATCAAAGGTGTTAATCAAGATATCATAAGCAAAAGTATGAGAGAAGCTTTTAAAATTTAAATTTGGAGGAAAGATTTTAGAAATTTTAGGGTAGAAATTGGGTGATTTTTATTACAAGTTTATTCTAGCCTTACTCTCACAAAGACTGTGACACTTTGTTATCAGCTCTGATACTTGAAGATCTGCTAGAGACTTTGGGTGCTTTGAATCCAATAGACTTCTTATGATTACTCTCTTTCCTCGAAGTAGTTTCGACAAAGCTGTTATGATCAATCTCATCATGAAATTTAGAGAAAGAAATATTATCAGCTTCTGTCCTTGAAGCTTTTCTTTGCTTGTAAAAGAGTGTAACTATCCTAAAAATCTGCCAGATTCACCATCATCAGAAGACAACATTCTCAAGTAGCTCATTGTAATCTACCCGATCGAAGGTAGTTGAGAGATAATACAAGAAATATATCAGAACTCAAACTAAACCAATGGAAAATTCTAAGATGTTACTCAATTTTATGAAATAGGCTTCGCAGCCAATCAAGAAGATCTTTCAAGCAATGTCTCCTAAAATAAACAGGTTTATAAAGACCTCAAAGGCTTTGAAGACAAAAGTCCGGATTGCCTCTTTTCCTTGAATAATGACCCATAAAATCATAAAGGTGCAGAAGATGGCAATGAAGAAGTAGAAATAAGGGCATCAGGCATGGAAATAAACTTTGTTGAGCACCGCTGTGAGTCCGTCTTCCTCTTCCTTCAGTATGTTACTTCTGCATTGTCCTCGCAGTCATCTTCTTCTTTAAGTTTTCAGCAGTTCACTCAAAATGCTCGTTATGCTTCACATCTGGGAAGGACTCATTCAAGCTGTCGTTCTGCTTGTCCCAATACGTATTTGATTGCTGGGGCCTTATGTTGTTGGTAAAGCGAACCTGGGTTTGAGGGTTCAACCCATTTTCAGAGTCATAGTAATTTACCTTCGACTGAGCCTTGTTCCTTTTGGAATCAAAATTTACTTTTAACGAAGACATTTTATTTATCTATTTTGGTTTTTAAGTTTTACAATTTTTATTTAAATGAGAGGGGTTTTGGGGTTTTGGGGTTTTGGGGTTTTGGGG